GACCACATGATTGGACAAACAGTTCCACCAGTACCAGAAGGTTCTAATAGAAGGGAGCGTGATGTAGTCACTCCACACAACATCTCTATACTTTTGTTCATCGAAAAATATGCTCGTCTTCGGCCAAAGTACTGGGACCCAAGGCCCACAGGTAATTTATTATTTGCTTTGAATAATCAATTTAATCACTAGTATGCAGATCCCTCCCCAGTATATTGTTGCTCATTGTTGTCATGGGGGGGGGGGGCTTAGGTGACAATGACTGAGGCCCAATGTAGGGTACCATCCCTACCTTGACCTCATTGTTTTCCTTAAACAATGTTTCTATTGCTTCCCAAGCCACAGATACACTCCATTTCATCCAGTCACCCTTAACCCTTTCCTCTTTTACTAATTTCCGATTTACTTCATTTGCACCTCCACTTTACTCTTTTTACTGCCATACAGTCGTATTATGCTCAATAACCTTTGACATCTAACACAGTTTATTCTAATTGTTAACTAATTTTTACCCTTTTTGCCACAATACTTTACAAAATGATGTCTAGCACATTTATTTGTTTCAACCATGAATCATTAGTATGGAGATAGTTTATTTATTTCATTGTATGATATTGATGACATGATATTGTAAAATCTCATTACATCCATGATTATTATGTCATAATGTCTAACTCATTACTAGAGATTGTATGTTTTTTTTCAGTAAATAGAAGGATATTGGTAGAAAAAGTATTTAAAAAATTCCCTGTTTTTCAGATTCCAATGCAAATCACCCAGATATTACAGCACAGGAAAGAAAAGCAACATGTTTAATGACAGTCAGACTTGTTCAGGTCAGTTTATATAAAAAATTACTTTTTGATTGTTTATGTATATATAAGTAGATGACTAGATAGTTATATCTATATGATTGTTTTGTCTATATATGGCTATATATATGTAGCTTTGCCTGATTGACCTGGCTTCTGCAGATGTTTATGGTTATTTATCTTTTTATTCTAGGGAGGAGACATGTCATTATCAGAGCTGCTACAGGTTCTAGACTCAGCCCCTCTTTTATCTTACCACATCAATACATTCATGACTGCCTTGCATCAGGTAACTTTTTATGTGATCTTTTTGAATGTAGAAGATCCAAGTAAATTGTTATACGTGGTTGCAAATCCACTACAGTTGATTTAAGAAAACATTTTGTTATATCTTATTAAGAAATGCCTGTTTAAAGAGCTTTTGTTTCCTTGATATTTTATTTATATATTTTCAAATTTCACAGATGTATTGTAGTAGAATCGACAGCCTTCTAGACTTGTTTGATTCTGTGGAAAAATTTGCTATCCAGGACCAGAGTCGTATGGAGACATTCCCCTGTCTGTGGACTAGTGTTGTTGGTATGTTATGTAACTATGATCTTTCCCTCTATTTATTTTAGATTGTTAATAGTGGTTCTTATTTTATTTTCCTTTTTTATATTATCAGTACAATATTATAGGTCATCTGAAACTACTATTACCCATAAGAAGATTAGATGTAGATAGGAAAGAAAAGGTTGTGAAACCAAAACTGCTCATAGTTGGATTTGTAATATGTCCATACCCAATTTTCCACATTGTTGCTTTATTTTCTCTCTCTCCCTTCTTTTATCTTTCTTTCTTTCTGTTTTTTTTATTGCAAGTGGGAAGACTTACCTTGGCTTGACTTGACCCTCCCAATACATTGCTCGTTGTTGTCGTGGGAGGGGCCTTAGGAGACAGAGACTGGAGCCTAATTTAGGGATTGCCCCTACATTGGACTTCAGCCTTCACCTCAACTAATTTTGCTTGATTTCTTCTTCTCCTCCTTTCCTCTTCTGTATCTTCGTCATCATCTTCTTCTGTCCCATTCCTAAGGTGTGAGAGCTGTGCTGAATGGATGAAAGACTGCCTTTATTTCAGTCATGAACAGCCTCCGGAAGCCATGGGAATGGTATTCCCTTGATTAATTGCCTAGCCCTAACCCCATATGGGGACCCTGAGGGGTAGACCATTTCTTTTCCCCATTTTGTTCAAGCTCATCATGGCCAATAATGAAGATTCTTTACCCTTAAAAGGGGCAGTAAGGCTTACCCCTTCATCAGCTAGCCTATCAGAATTTGATTTTAATGGTTTTCCGACCCTTGCCCCTCCTTTACCACGGCTCTAACCACTGATACTGATACCCCCTCCTCAACATTTACTGACAACTCTATTCATTCTGAACCATCCACCCAGGTTATTACTCAACCTCAAGAATGCACCTCTTCCTCTCTCCCAACATTCTCTTTTCCATCTCCTACTGCAGCCTTCTTCAGTGGCTACCCCCTCTTCCCTTATTACTTATTACTAATTATTCTTCATCCTTATTGTTTTCCCCCCCCACAGAACTACTCCACTCAACACCACCCCTTCTTCCTCCCACCCTCGTCCTTCTACTGCCTCTACCTCTGCAAACCTTTTGAGTACTCTCTTTGGCCCAGCCAAGTGGGATCGATTCTTTGTGATTCCTCCTACAGCCCCCTAATCTGAGAATACCCT